ACCGTAGACAGAGACTAGTCATAGACTCATAGAATGACTCAAACTAAATGAAGAAAGACACAGTTATGAACTTATCAGTAGACACCAATGAATACTCAATTGGGATCACGTGGGTTTTTTTCCAATTTCATTTAAATGATGAACTTTTCTACGTTTTATGGCAGCCGTGGTGGCTCGATGAGTAAGACGATGACTTGCTCACCTGTAGTGATGGCCGACAAATTTCATTAGGATATTTCGGCCGTTGTTCCCATCGTCAGCGGTACCATGAATAGTCGTTCAGATGGGAGGAAAAGAACCCTGAACAGTTCGAATTCGAAATAAGAGTAGGCCTTAGCAAGGCTGTCCGGAGCAAAATTTCCCTCATATAACACTGTATGGTGTATTACTCGTCTTTAATAGCCCAGTCGGGACAGAACAGTAGGACGTTAATCCCCATTTCTCTTTTACGATAAAATTTCATGGGTACGCACTACTACATTTAATCAAGAGAGAATTGACCTTTCCGTCGACCCCGCCCACAATAAGGCTTTGACCAATCAGCTCCGATTACAGTTTCCCGCGAAATGACGTTGCGTTACCACGCTTCGTCACCTTAGACAAACTTAGTGAATTTTGACATTTTGTCGTGTGTTCTAACGTCGTCAATCGTGGCTAAACATTGCTCACACGGACATCGTAACAGCAATAGCTTCTATCCACACAGGTTAAAGGGTGGTGTAGTGTGCAGTCCCTTAAAAAAAATATATGGGACGTGTCTTCTAGGCCTAATGGATAAGACTGTTGTCGAAGTCCCCACTCCCAGTTAATAAAGAGAAAATTACATTGACATTGTTGAACTATTGACCGCCTACTCAACTGAGGAGTCGAAACCTTGTAATACCTCTTAAGGTCAAGGGTCTTACTTAGAACTTTCTAATTAGCGGCTAAATCTATTTGTTAAGGCCAGTTCAATTTTTGTCAAGGTCGTTGAGATGTAAATAAGGTTAGGGCACGTGATTGTTGACGAGATTGTAGGTTAGGATTATCGAGAGGTGAAGGTTCTTTACAGACGACCCCCGCCCCATCCCCATCCCCCCCTGCAGGAATCACGGGCCGTGGGTCTAACGTTTCCCAACCCTTACAGGAATCGAACCTATGACATCACCCATTCGCCTCGCAGTTGCCAGTCCAGCGCTCTACCACTGGGCTATCGTACAACCATGTGCTAGCCCTGTTTACATCTCGTGACCTATAACGAAATATTGAGCTGGCCTTATCATTTACCACTAACCCTAATTAGCAGGATACGACTACTGTAATAGGTTGATGGGTGCACGGAGTTTAGTAAACAATGGGTCTCAAAAGTTACTACGCACCCGCCCCCTTACTTTAATTTTGTTCGGCGCTGTGATCAGAATACCCTCCCCCCCACCCCTTTGTTAATGTGGTCGTTGTTTTTGAAGGATTTTACTTAAGTAGCAGAAATCGAATCTGTAGCCGAATATTTTTTGGACACTCTTCATTATCCATGAAAGAACATGTATACCGTCATCTGAAAAAGGAGGGTTGGATGGCTGAATGGTTAGCACGTGCGTGTTGTATCATAAAGTCTGTCATTGAGTCAACTGGCGTGGTTTTGATTCCCCGGTTGTACGTGACAAGGAGTAGGGTCGCCTGTCAAAACCTCGTGGGTTTTCTCCGGGTCCTCCGGTTTCCTCCCACTGCTAAACACCCCTACGCGCAAGCGAATTATTGAAATAAAATTAAACCATATGTTAGTCCCGAAATGACCTAGTTTGTGTCGAGTGGACGTTAAACCCCATTTCTCTCTCTCTCTCTCTCTCTCATCTGAAAAAAAACCTGACTTTGACCAATAGCGTCCGACCTCCCTTAAAAAAGAGCAGTCTATGTAGAGTACTACAGTACGTAAATTGTGTGTTGTTCTGAAAATGGTCTCTTTAGTTTGGTTCACGAATAAATTTGTTATGGTAACTGGGGGTTATGGTAACTGGGGAGGGGGGGGGGGGTCGGGGGTGGAATGGCCGAATGGTTAGCGCGTGTGCGTTGTATCATAAGGTCTGGCGAGGTTTCGATTTTCCCGGTTGTACGTAACAAGGAGTTGAGTCGCCTGTCCAACCTCGTGGGTTTCCTCCCACTGCTAAAAACCCCTACGCGCAAGCGAATTATTGAAATAAAATTGAACCATATGTTAGTCCCGAAATGACCTATTTTGTGTCGAGTGGACGTTAAACCCCCATTTCTCTCTCTCTCTTGTTATGGTAACTGAAAGTGAAAGAATAATATACAATGCGTTGACATCTGATGGCACGTGGGAATCGAATCTCAGCTATCCGAGAGTCGGATGCGTCTGATATTCTTGATAAGTGACATTTTGATTATGTCTGAATCAACAAATTGATGATACACAATGGACAACATCACTTACCGGACTTCTACTAGACGATGGTGACGCAAGAGACATTCATAAGTTATTGACAGCAAGGGTCCTCATATACAACACTCGTTCGAGATTGCAAAATTCCAACTAAACAGAGACTTCAAATAGACGGTGATGCGAGAGACATTGAAAATTGATTGACAACAAATTTCCCCATAGCGCACCGGATCAAGATTACATAATTTTAACTAACACGAACTACATTCTCCAAAGCCTGGCCCACGCGATTGCGTCACCATTCTGCCTAACGCTTTGCGCCACCTAGCGTAGACATTTGTGAAGGTAGGTGAGAGACAATAACAGCGAAAGGCGACCACTTTAAAGTACCGCAGGAGTGCAAAACCCGCGCCGTTTTTTGAAATTGCTAGTATCCGCTAAGGTCACACAAATAGTAATGCCATAGAAATATATGAATACAGTGTTGGAATATCTGACACATTCAATACTATAATACATGCTTCAGGTTTAGGGTGTCGGATGACCAAATGGTTAGCGCGCGTTGTATCATAAGATCTGTCATTGAGTCAACTGGCGTGGTTTCGATTCCCCGGTTGTACGTGACAAGAAGTGTGGTCGCCTGTTCAGCTTCGTGGGTCTTCTCCGGTTCCTCCGGCGGTTTCCTCCCACTACTAAAGGCACCTACGAGCAGGCGTTTGTGTCAAGTGGACGTTAAACCCCCAACCCCAACCCCCCTCTCTCTCTCTCTCTCTCTCTCTCTTTCGGTAACTGGTGGCCCAAAATCATCCGCGGCGTACATGATCGTAGGTTTTAGTCCTACACCAGGGTAAGACACGATCGGGTGAACCAGGAGAGGGAGAGAGAGAGAGACACGTGGGTTTAACGTCCACTCGACACAAACTATGTTATTTTGGGACTAACACATCGTCCAATTTTATTTCAATAATTCGCTTGCACGTAGGGGTCTTTAGCAGGAAACCGGATACCCGGAGAAAACCCAGGAGGTTGGACAGGCGACCCTACTCCTTGTCACGTACAACCGGGGATTCGAAACTACGCCATTTGACTCAATGACAGGCTTTATGATACAGCACGCACGTGCTAACCATTCGGCCATCCAACCTCCCTTCAATCTTAAAAGCGAGCACGTTAAACTGTAAAGCCTTTGCTGTGTATTGCTCCTTGATCACCTCGTACAGAATCCTTCAAGACTAAAACAAACTTCCCTGTATCCTGATGACTAATCCAAGTTTCCATGTAATTTACTATTACAAACATCTTGGTAACAAAAACTCTTTGAGCCTTTATCACACTGAGGAATGAGTCAAGATCATGTAATCAAGTCGGTTTCCGATCGGATGTGTGGTTGCGTTAACTGCAGCTGCAAATTGAGGGCTATCTTGAGATGATTTTCTATTAGAGACCGATCAGCTTCTAGCCTCCAGCCAACTCCGTGTAAAAACAGTTGGTGTTCTGTGTTTCATACAGCAATCGTTCAGCGCCTTGTTCTCTCTATAAAACAGCTGAGTAACCCTTTTATGAACCGAAGAATAAAAGTGTGTCAAGAAATGTCTTATAGAAACTAATCAGGGATAATTGAGTATTGTTTCTCCGAACCAATTACACGATCGATGACTTATAGAAACAAACAATTAGCAACGCGATTATCATTAGTAGATTGTGTGATAGCAGGGGGCGGACCCAGAGGGGGGAGGGTTTGGGGGGGGGGGGTCCAAAACCCCTCCTGCTAAGCTACACAAAAATTTTGTAAAACAACACGGTCGTGTGTGCTTTATCATCAAATAGTGGGATGGGATGTGCATAGAAATCGCGAGATACTGATAAAGACATGTGTGATATCACAATTAATGCTTTACATCAATGAAACTGAATCACATTGACCCCCACCCCACCACCACCCAAAGGAATGAAATGAAATAAAATGGGGTTTAGCGTCCTATACTTGGCTAATGAAGACGGGCATACGCCACGCAGTGTGCTATGCGGAACATTTTGCCCGGACAGCGGCACTACGGCACTCTTATATCGAATTCCAACTGCCAAGGGATCTTTTACGTGCACGCCAATGTGTACACGGGACCACGGGTTTTCGTGTCAGGTCCTCTGTCCTGCATCACTGACAAGGGGGAACCACGCCGGAAAATCTGGATGAACTTTCTCGGCCACTGCAGGGATCGAACGTCCGACCTCCAGACTAGCGAGCCAGCGTCTTACCCACTTAGCCATCGTGACCCTCCCCAAAGATACATTGTCTCAGGTACTGGGCAAACCCCCCTGCTGCAAAAATTCCTGGATCCGCCCCTAGATAGTTGAGAATCGTTGGATCTGTCTGCAATTGAAATGGAGAAACTTCCCGAAAGAATATCTATAGTCCCTTTATCTTAAGCCAATCTTTACCGTTACTAATTCCCAGTAACGAATATCTTACATTATAATCAACTTGCTAGCCAGTTCATATTTTGTTGTTGATTTTCTCGACGGTTAAAATTTCTCTTTTTCTATTCGATAGCCACCTGTTACATTGTCAACCATATTGATTTTCATAGGCATGCGTACAACTATAGATTGACTTAGCGTGGACGAGTGTCATACGACAGTTTCACAGAAGAGTCTGATAAAGCGACAATGGCAGAAGAAAAGGATATTGCTGCAGCTTCCAAAAACTTTTTGCGCCAGTTTCGGGATATTAACACTAGGGAGTTCAAGAAAATAAGTGCATCCCAATTTAATGATGTCTGGACGCACTACGATCAGGACGGTGGGTACACTTCATTTTTATATAATGATACTTTTAAATCAATTTTACTGGCTTATTTTACTGATAAATCTTTTCCACCTTTTACTCGGAAACTTGTTGGCAATGTGTGGGGTTTTTTTTTCTCTCGAATCGATTAATGCTAATGAATTATAACCCAGTTATCTTAATGAAATCGATGCGCATGATGATTTTGCAATGGATTAATGAATCTGTTTAAAACAAGGTGAGAGAGAGAGAGAGAGAGAGAGAGAGAGAGAGAAAGAGAGAGAGAGAGATGGGTTTGACGTCCACTCGACACAAACTAGGTCATTTCGGGACTAGCATAAGGTTCAATTTTATTTCAATAATTCACTTGCACGTAGAGGTCTTTCTCAGTGGGAGGAAACCGGAGGACCCGGAGAAAACCCACGATATTGGACAGGCGACCCTACTCCTTGTTACGAACAACAAGGGAATCGAAACCAGGCAAGTTGACTCAATGACAGACCTAATGATACAACGCGCACACGCCAACCATTCGGCCAGTCAACCACCCAGTGATATAAGTGATCCTTGCTAGTTTATATACAATGAATTCTATTCACATGTTACCGATATTAAAATGTTGTGAGCACTATATTTAAAACCTCACATCTGTTACTAAGTACCGTATATAGCACGATATGTTTACTGTAATAATAATGGAAACAACATTATTATATTCAGCCACTGTATAATCGTTTTTCAATACAAATGCATACCTTGTTTTGAACTGATTCATTAGTCTGTTACTTGGAGAGGAGGTTGGGTGGCCGAATGGTTAGCGCGTGCGCGCTGTATTATAAGGTCTGTCATTGAGTCAATAGGCAGGAAGGAGAATTTTGCCGGTCCAGTAGTGTTACCGCCCACTTTGCATCGAATACCAGCTTAACCTTGCTTTTTAATCCCACTCAAACGACAAGACGATGGTCCTTGTTCGGCCGTCCGTGCTATCGCGTTTAACTGGACCTTGTCCGGCCATCCGTGGTATCGGGTTTAACTGAACCTTGTCCGGCCATCCGTGGTATCGGGTTTAACTCGACTTGTCCGACCACCCGTGGTATCGGGTTTAACTGGACCTTGTTCGGCCATCCGTGGTATCGGGTTTAACTGGACCTTGTCCGACCATCCGTGGTATCGGGTTTAACTGGACCTTGTCCGACCACCCGTGGCATCTGGCTTAACTGGACCTTGTCGGACCATCGGGTTTAACTGGACCTTGTCGGGCCATCCGTGCTTTCGGGTTTAACTCGACCTTGTCCGACCACCCGTGGTATCGGGTTTAACTCGACCTTGTTCGGCCATCCGTGGTATCGGATTTAACTGTACCTTGTCCGACCATCCGTGGTATCGGGTTTAACTGGACCTTGTTCGGCCATCGGGTTTAACATGCTACTTTTCTGCACCAGGCGGAATAATGAAGACCTGCATATGTAAAATGACAGACATTTTGCCCGGGCAGCAGCTCTTCCGCCTACTCTTCGTTAAATTCCAACTGTCCAGGATCCTTTTACGTGCATGTCAATGTGTACACAGGACTTCGGTTGTTTTTTTTTGTTTTTTTGTCCCCATCGAATGACTTGATGACTAGTTGCCGTTCTTGTTCGGACTCTCGGCCCTACGGCTTACTTGTAAAAAGGTCGCCTGTCCAACCTCGTGGGTTTCCTCCGGTTTCTTCCGGTTTCCTTCCACTGCTAAAGACCCTACGCGCAAGCGAATTATTGAAATAAAATTGAACCATGTGTTAGTCCCGAAATGACCTAGTTTGTGTCGTGTGGACGTTAAACCCCATTTCTCGCTTTCTCTTCCTTGTAATAAGGTAAAATCACTCAAGCATGCATATCATATTCATTACACTTGTAGTGCGCGTAATTAACATCGAACTTCGCTCTTTGATGTCATGCCACAATTCCAATCGAAGTCTCGGGTTCATAATGCTTGTTTATCAAGAGCATTTATATAATTACAACATTGATCTATTCACCAATTATTGCCACGCGTCAACGCATTTGATAACCACTATCACAATATTTTAGAATATTTTAACTGATGTGATTGTTTAATCCGATTAAAATACAGATCTATATTTCGTTTCGTTTTTTTATACTTTCAATGGCCTACACTACATGAAGATCTGACAGGTTGTAGTGATAGGTCGCGTCAGAGGTCATACGAGTGGCTTTTGACCTATGACGTAAGACATTTGATTACTAGTGGATTAAACACACTTCCGTTCAAAACACGCCCAAAGCTCGCCGTAACAGACAGTTTCATTGGCTAATAGCTCACATCATTCAGAACACGTCAATGATAAAAACTCTTCCAGATCCTAGTGTAGTAAAGACAAGTAAAACAAAATTTTGAACTATAAAAACGAAACGAAATAGGATCTGTGTTTTATTCAGATTGGTGAGTGTTAGATTTCCGAAAACCTTATGGAAACATGTAATTGCAGGTCAAGTCATTTATTTGCTCGTTTTATGATAAGTTCATGTCAAAACGCTTCAATTCGAAATTGCTAAACAATTTGACAACTAAAACCAACGTACATATGTAGGAAAAAACAAACAAATAAATCTGGCCGAAACGTCCTCTTTCTAAAAAAAAGTGGCCGAAAAGTCCTGGGTCAAAATGTCCAAGTCGTCCGAAATATCCACTGACCGAAACGTCCTACATTCGTCACTTGATAACAGAAACGACAAAAAAAAGAAATAGCCTTTATTCAATTTAACTTAATAAAAACACGGTAATGAAGGGACTGTTTCTACTCTGGAACCTGTTTAAACCAGTTTTATGTGATAATGGCCGACACCAATATTGTCCTTAAAGTCTGCATTACAATAGTTTGCTGAAAGCTATAACACGTCTTAAACCTTTATCTCTTCGAGATCGGGGAGTTGAACGGCCTAATGGTTGGCGCATGCGCGTTGTGTCATAAGGTCTGTCATTGAGCCAAATGGTGTGGTTTCGATTCCCCGGTTGTACGTGACAAGGATTAGGGTCGCCTGTCCAACCTCGTGGGTTTTCTCCAGGTCCTCCGGTTTCCTCCCACTGCGAAAGACCCCTACGTGCAAGCGAATTATTGAAATAAAAGTGAACCATATGTTAGTCCCGAAATGACCTAGTTTGTGTCGAGTGGACGTTAAACCTCCCTCTCTCTCTCTCTCTCTCTCTCTGTATCTCTGTCTCTCTCTGTCTCTCTCTCTCTCTCCTGTCGAATCGTAAGGTCTGTCAATGAGTACAGTTTGGCATACATCACCACTGTCTGTTAAGGTGTGGTAGTAATTATATTTAAAGGTATATAGCTAGATCTGATGACCTTATCATATCGGATTATTGATTATATACCCCAATAGAATCTATTGTATAGATAATACATTACACTAGAGATATACTTATACTTTCTGCAACAATTACCTTAACGTGAGAGAGAGTGAGAGAGAGAGAGAGAGAGAGAGAGGGAGAGAGAGATGGGGTTTAACGTCCACTCGACACAAACTGGGTCATTTGGGGACTAACACATGGTTTATAATTTTATTTCAATAATTCGTTTGCGCATAGGGGGTCTTTAGCAGTGGGAGGAAATCGGAGGACCCGGAGAAAACGCACGAGGTTTGACAGGCGACCCTACTCCTTGTCACGTACAACCGGGGAATCGACACCACGCCAGTTGACTCAATGACAGACTTTATGGTACAGCGCGCACGTGCTAACCATTCAGCCCCCCCCCCTACCTTAACGTACCGCTGACTTTACGAGAGGTTAGTTCTCCTAACTTACAGTTGTCTGTGAGAATGACAGTCATTATGAGGAGCCACGGTGGATAAGTTGGTAAGACGCTGGCTTGCTAGCCCGGAGGTCGCGTGTTCGATCCCTGCATTGGCCGAACAAGTTCATCGGGATTTTCCGACGTGGCTTCCCCTTGTCAGTGGTGCAGGACGGGGGGTCTGCCACGGACAACTGTCTAGTCGTGTACACGCTATCGTGCACGTAAACGATCCCTTGGCAGTTGGAAATCGATATAAGAGTAAATTTGCCGCTGCCCGGGCAAACATTTCCCTCATAACACACTGTATGCCATATGCTCGTATTCATTAGTCCAGTATAGGAGTAGAACATTTCGACAGACATTATGATCGCCCATTATGTGAATTCGTTATGAGATTCGGGCCAAATTGTCACTTCAAAGTTTTACATAAAAGGAAGTTTTGTGATACCAGTTGTTTTGGATCTGCATGGGAGGTCCACCGGAACAAAAAGCACAAATGTCCCGAGCATGAGCTCATGGATTGACTATTCTGTAACACAGACATGGTGCTATATTAGGATATAGTTTGTACCCGCAGCCAACCCCTGTATCAATACAAGAGAGGGAGAGAGAGAGAGAGAGAGAGAGAGAGAGAGATGGGGTTTAACGTTTACTCGACACAAACTAGGTCATTTCGGGACTAACACCTGATTCATGCGCGTAGGGGTCTTTAGCAGTGGGGGGGACTCGGAGAAAACCCATGAGATCGGACAGGCGACCCTACTCCTTGTTACATACAACCGGGTAATCGAAATGATCTAACAATTCTTTTGATTTGGGGGGGGGGGGGATTGGATGGCTCAATGTATCATAAAGTCTGTCATTGAGTCGACTGGCGTGGTTTCGAATCCCCGGTTGTACGTGACAAGGAGTAGGGTCGCCTGTCCAACCTCGTGGGTTTTCTCCGGGTCCTCCGGTTTCCTCCCACTGCTAAAGACCCCTACGCGCAAGCGAATTATTGAAATAAAATTAAACCATATGTTAGTTCCGAAATGACCTGGTTTGTGTCGAGTGGACGTTAAACCCATCTCTCTCTCTCTCTCTCTCTCTCTCTCTCTCTCTCTCTCTTTTGATTTGGTAAATGAAACTTCCAAGTGCATATTTGATAGTCTAGTCAATATCGTTAGACATGAAATGTTATAATTAGCATGTTGGTAATAAATGGATAATAGGCTTAACAGATGGATGATGCATTAACTATTATCATACTTATCCATTATCTGGAGATTTCTCAATTTAAATGGCGTTAAATCATTCAAATTACCCCCTTGATGCACCAGTTAATGGCGCCACTATCTCATTAAAGGATCGTTAAAACGGTAATTGGTAATATTTAATCCCCCCACCAGTATATTAAACTTACATTAGCTTGATGACGTTCACTCCCTTCAATAGTCCCGCGGATTATCCGAAGCTTGATATGCTTAATGACCAGTAAAATACTCATTCGGTAAACCTCGGTAGACTCCGGTACTCTACAGCTATTCTCGACTGTATGACGGTAAGTGATATGTAGCTACACCTATACAATTGTGATGCGGCTACCGGTTTACTGATTAGGAAACCTTGCCGCGTTCAGAAAGAAGTTCTCAAAATGGCGCCGTGCGAGTCACCGAGGTTGACAGGGGGACTTCACCACACATAATTTACACAAAAACAAATACATGGACAAGACATCATACTCAGAAACCACAAATAAACGCACAATTCAAATAAAGTGAATGGATCCGGGGGCTAGCCGTAAGCGTCCTTTGCGCTGTACAGTTCCGGGCCTGTAGTGACACAGACTTCACTCAAATTTGAAAACAATCAGGCATATAACCCAGAGAAACCATTGTGTAATGCCAGGAGGAGTCATGATCTGCTATATGAATGTAAGCATATTGTAGTAAAATTTAACTATACAAGTAACCACATAGAAATGTATGTAGCCTAGTAGTTGATTGATGAACTCTTGTGTTTAGGTTCATAAGCCCGCGGTCACCAGTTTGTCCTATTACTGGAATCTATATACATAAAACCACAGCTATTATGGCGAACACGACATTTACAGAAATTTGATAGGCTGTAACAGTTTGACTTCTGTTTCTTCACGTAATGCCGCCACATTGTCTAATCCAGTGGTTGATAGCATGTGATTTCGTTTCATAATTTCTCGCATACCTATTAATTTCTTTTATTCCTTAATAAAAATTGATGCCAGTTTCAGTTAAAAATATGCTCGAGTTTAGAATAAATGACCTATATAAACAATAAATATCTCCATAAGGTATGACTTATGGATAGAAAAGAAATGAAATGGGGTTTAACGTCCTACTGTTCTGCTCCTTTACTGGGCTAATGAAGACGGGCATACGCCATACAGTGTGCTATGAGGGAAATTTTGCCCGGACAGCGGCACTATCGCCTACTCTTATATCGAATTCCAACTACCAGGGGATCTTTTACGTGCATTCCAATATATACACGGGACCTCGGTTTTCCGTCCCATCAGAACGACTAGACAGCTGTTCTTGTCAGGCCCTCCGTTCTGCATCACTGACAAGGGGAAAACACGCCACAAAATCTGGATTAACTTTCTCGGCCAATGCAGGGATCGAACACCCGACCTCCAGGCTAGCGAGCCAGCGTCTTACCCATTTAGCCACCGTGATCCCCCTCTCCATAAGGTAGTGATATAACTAGTTATCTGTTATTTAATAACCAAGTTTGCTGGTAACGTTCTGAAGTGAATGAGAGAGAGGGAGAGATTTGCTGCATCTGGAAAACACGGAAAGAGAAATGGGGTTTAATGTCCATGTGACACAAACTAGGTCATTTCGGGACTAACACATGGTTCACATTTTATTTGAATAATTCGCTTGCGCATGGGGGGGGGTAGCAGTGGGAGGAGACCGGAAGACCAGGAAAACCCCCACGAGGTTGGATAGGCCACCCTACTCCTTGCCACGTACAACCCCGAGCAACTTGATTTTAAATGTTCCCTTTCTATTCCAGGCAATGGATATATTGAGGGAACGGAGTTGGACAACTTTCTGTACGAGTTGGTAACCAGCGTCAATACATCTGATGTTGGACCCGAGGTAAGTAATAATAGTAGTAGTAGTAGTAGATGTTTTATGGTCACGCGATGAACAAAATACATATCTTAAATTATTATGAAAGGACTGAAAACAAACCAGCCATAGTTTCATTAAATCAATCTAAAATAATTACACTCGACCTACGTGGATATGGAATTGTTCCAGAAATTTGCAGTATTGTCAAAACTCTTTTTTTTTCTTCAAAAAGTTTTGTCGTTTGAGGTGAAAAGAAATAGGTAATCAATTCTAGTTTTCTTGTTTACGATTTCACCTGTATGGAATAGTCTCAATCTGATCAAAAAACAGATCTTATTTCGTTTCGTGTTTTATTGTTCAAAATTTCGTTTTACTTGTCTTTACTACACTAGGATCTGGAAGAGTTGTTATATAACAGGCGTTCTACTTCATGAAACGGTCTGTTACAGCGATTTCTTGGCATTTTTATGCAAGGAACAGTGTGTAAACCACTAGAAACGACAACGCTGATTGATTAATCAATGTCTGACGTCATAGGGCCAAAAGCCGCTCGTTTGACCCCTGACGTGAACTCCCAATATAGCTTGTCAGATCTTCATGTAGTGTAGACCATCGAAAGTATAAAAAAACGAAACGAAATATAGATCTGTATATTAATCAGATTGTGCATAGCCTCATCAACGATACAACACAACACACCATAGAATTACATTACGGTTGTCAGTAGGACAAATATAAGGACACCACATACAAGTATTAGCGATCATCAAATTAAACTTAAAAACTGCGCCCATTTTAACAATATTTCGTCGGATTTATATTTTTGTGGCAAACCTGCCTGTCGTAAACACATCGTTCCTTCACTACGTCAATCGTATTACTACATGAACGGAACAATATCCACTCGCTTAATTTAGTTCCGGATCCACATGTCACAACCATAAACTCATACGAACCTTTGTTTTAATGTTATGAGAGAGAGAGAGAGAGAGGGAGAGAGAGAGAGAGAGAGTTTAACGTCCACTCGACGGTTGTACGTGACAAGGAGTAGGGTCGCCTGTCCAACCTCGTGGGTTTTCTCCGGGTCCTCCGGTTTCCTCCCACTGCTAAAGACTCCTACGCGCAAGCGTATTATTGAAATAAAATTCAACCATATGTTAGTCCCGAAATGACCTAGTTTGTGTCGAGTGGGCGTTAAACCCCATTTCTCTCTCTCTCTCTCTTCTCTCTCTTTGGTAACTATAAAAAGGGATACTAAATCAACTTGGGGTACTCGGATGCGTAAACTCGAGTAACTCACAATTCGTATTACTATACCCACTTCCGGTATGTTGATTTCGATTTCTGACCCCATATAACATTCACTGACTATAATAATTTTCATAAATAGTTGAAAACACCACCAAAGCTTTGCAGTTCCATCATTTTAAAGGCTTAATACCACTCTTGTTGTAACTGAATAATATGTCCCAATCTTTATTCTGGTCAACAAATTGTACTATTTTACAATATTCCAATTAATTGATGATACAAATTTCATCTTAACACACCTCATTTAAAAAATTGGAAAAATTCAACTAAATGATTTGAAAAGCCTAACGTAAAGCTTTTCAAATGTGACTTGGATTTTAAAATATTTTCGAACCCTCTGGACAAGTAAAATAGGATTTAATGGATAATTTACACAACAGGTAGGACACTAACACATCTAGTACTTAGAATAAGGCTATTTTTTATTTTCTGGAGCTGTCAAGCCAGCAAGAGTGTTATTGTCCCTTTAACTATATTACTATGCCTTACTATATCTTCAGAATTAGTCTTCCTTCAGTTACGTAAAACGAGGTGACCATGGAAACTGTGTTTATCTTGTATAAGCGTATTAATATTAATATCATTCATGTTTGATCTGTGTTAGTCATCCGAAGGACTATTGTCCGTGTTAACCACGAACTTTAAGGATAGTTCCTTTTGTATCAATATCACAAAGGAAGAAAAAAAAGCTGATTACTTTCCCTAACTTTTCATTCCGTTTGATTTCATTTACGGATACGGGGCTTTGTATCCATGCAGTTACTTGAGAATGTTTGAATTCCTAAAGGAATTGATCTCAGGTGATGTAGCTTTTTTAATCTAATCATCGATGATAATGTCACGAAATTGATATAAACACCGGAAATATATCTTGGAGTTATCTTAGATTTTATAAGATAAGAAAGATTTTCTGTAATGCTTTTACTTTGACATAAATGTACATGGGCTGTTATGTTTTCGATTTTTTTGCGGTTCAACAATGAGGTCTTTGATCTTTAAATCCTTATCGACAAGATATCTATATAGTCCTACTAACGCTGAGTTTCAGAAAGATCTTTACTGGTGTCAACGTAATCACAGAGAGAGAGAAATGGGGTTTAACGTCCACTCGACAAGATATCTATACAGTCCTACTAACGCTGAGTTTCAGAAAGATCTTTACTGGTGTCAACGTAATCACAGAGAGAGAGAAATGGGGTTTAACGTCCACTCGTCACAAACTAGGTCATTTCGGGACTAACATATGGTTTAATTTTATTTCAATAATTCGCTTGCGCATAGGGGTCGTTGGCAGTGGGAGGAAACCGGAGGACCTGGAGAAAACCCACGAGGTTGGCAACGTAATCAGACTATTATAGCCATTATCACATAACACATGGTCATACATGAGTAGGAGAGGTTGGATGACTGAATGGTTAGCGGGTGCGCGTTCTGTCATAAGGTCTGGCATTGAGTCAACTGGCGTAGTTCTGGGGTCACCGAGGCTAAGTCGGTAAGACGCTGGCTCGCTAGTCTGGAGGTCGTGTGTTCGATCCCTGCCGTGGCGGAGAAAGTTAATCCAGATTTTCCGGCGTGGTTCCCCCTTGTCAGGAGTAGGGCCGCCTGTCCAACCTCGTAGGTTTTCTCCGGGTCCTCCGGTTTCCTCCCACTGCTAAAGACCCCTACGCGTAGACGAATTATTGAAATAAAAATTGAGCCATATGTTAGTCCTGAAATGAGGATTAAAAGCACAAACCAAATACTTAATGTTTGTGATAATTTTAAAGGCATTATGGGTCCTAAAGACCGATTTCGAATAAATCTTAAACATACATTATGCAAGAGCTAAATCTGCCTATTTGAGGCCTTTCGTTAGGCCTGGAATGTTATATAAACTATTAATTAGACATTTATTAACAAAACAAGACCATAATCAACTCTCGATGGCATCGGATACTCGAGATTTTAACTAGATTAGATCGGTTCGCCATTTAAAAATTTAATTTAAAAATGGGAAAGCGAGCCTAAGTTTCGAATATACCAGTGCCCTAGTTACCACAATGCACACATCTTGTCAAAACAACCAACAGTGATAACTTGGCTCAGCATGAAGTAATTTGAATAAAAATTTTCAATATTTTCATTTTACATTATTTATTTTTGACCTAGTATAACATGAATGTTCAGCTCTTTATCTAAATCTTAATTATTATGTGTCTTTAGAAAGGCTATAGATCTCAAATATATGGTAAATAACGATGCCACAGACATCCAGACATCTCGAAGGAGTTGAACCTTGTAGTTATATGACAAAATAAAATACTCGATCAATCGGTCTAATGATTCACATCGATTAGCAATGGGACAAACTAGATACGACTCTTAAAAAGAAAGCAGAAGTAGGCTTCTTTACTAATTTTAATTTTAAATTTGAAGTTTTTCATGTCAACGGTGGAACATAAATTGAAGTACTGATTGGTGAACCTGATGTTTTACTTGGATTAGTAATTGGACAAATTCGATACACATCTAAGGAGTAAGCGGTAGTCGGATTTTGAATTGTATTTAGTTTTGTATGGTTGGATGGCTGGATGGTTAGCGTGCGCGCGCAGTATCATAAAGTCTGTCATTGAGTCGACTGGCGTGGTTTCGAATCCCCGGTTGTACGTGACAAGGAGTAGGGTCGCCTGTCCAATCTTGTGGGTTTCCTCCGGGTCCTCAGGTTTCCCCGCAATGATAAAGACCCCTATGCGCAAGCGAATTATTGAAATAAAATTAAACCATATGTTAGTCCCGAAATGACCTAGTTGTGTCGAGTGGACGTTAAACCCCATTTCTCTCTCTCTTTCTCTCTATCTCTCTCTCTCTATCTCTCTCTCCCTCTCTCCCCCTCCCTCTCTCCGTCTCTCTCTCTCTCTATCTCTCTCTTATCTGCCATGATGCCCTTCAAGACGGTCTGTGGCAGTTATACAAGCGGGGAAACGGAGATTCCAAAAATGATTATTAAAGATAACCGTACACGAAAACTACATCAGCCAAAACTACTTCTAGGCTGCCAACCATCTCATCATTTAGAAATTTTACACAAAAACTTGTTTTCAACACGCACAATTGTATTGACCTTGTAATTAGTAGGGTAAATTTTCTTTTCAGACTAACACGCTAATAGTTCTTGTGAGCTGAAATATTCCATCTCACATGCAATAGACCCATTCGTTTATCGCCATTAGGAACAGGTCTGGATAGTATGTTATTGTAGTGACTGGGATAAAGTAGAAAATGAAAGTAGAGTAATCATAATTATAGATCCTGTACACAAAGATCGATATTATACAGCAATATAAGAACTAAAAGACATCCCCTTACTACATTTAAAATGAAAGTAGTAAGTAGGGTAATCATAATTATAGATTCCATAAACAAAGATCGATCCTATATGTCCTCTCTTCTTTCATAAAAAATGGCCATCGATATGATCACTGAGACAACTAGAATTATTATCATTAATAACGTCAATATATTGATTGTATCGCGGTCCATAAATTAGATTATCATATAGCGTTGTATTGATTCTGGTCTGCTCCAATATTTTTTTAACTGGCTAAATCTATTTGTTAAGGCCAGTTGAATTTTTTGTCAAGGTCGATGAAAGGTAAATAAGGTTAGGACACGTGATTGTTGGTGAGATTGTAGGGTTAGTGGAAAGCATTAGGATTAGATTTAGGGTTAGGGTT